GCCACTTTAGTTCTTTTAATACTAAGAATTATTTAAAAACCAACTTCTGCTTTTCGTTTCTGTTTACTCACTGGGCGCCCTGCCCTCCCGATCGTGTCTACAGGTCACCGGTGCTCCGGGGGCACTCGCTCTCCTTTCTGAACTGGTGGCTGATCTCGGCCGAGAAAGTGTGGGGACCTGTCTGCTTGTGTTCTCGGCCACTTTTCACCTCTGCCGAGCTGTCCCTTTGGGCAGGGGATCCCTCTTCTCCAAGCTCTCCAGACTTGGAATTCCTAGATTTAGAACAGCTTCCAAGAACGCTCCAAGGATGTAACCGGTCTGGCCCGTAAGCCGTGATTCTTAGAGCTGCCCCAGGAATAAATCTTAGGACGTTTTTGTCATGGTTTTTTCCTTCCTCTTTTTACTGCTGGTATTTATTTAATGTACTTCTGGTGGGTAGCTTAAGATTAATCCCAGTGTTTACGTTAGCGTTAGGAAATACTTGAACTTTTTTAAAGAAGAAAACTAAGTTTAGGGAAACAAGGTTTAAACTGAACTTATTCTGGAAGAACAGCTGGTCACCTTAGAAAGCCGCTCTTTGCTGTCCATGCCCCTGGCCTAGTGTAGCGCTCGAGTGAGTACATGAGCCAGTTGACATGCTCGGTCCGCCCCGGTTCCACGCTGGCTTCCGAGTTTCCGCCTGTTCGGTCCTCACCCCCTGCCTCCCCTCAGATTCCCCCAGCTGGTTGTGGAAGCCCCCAGCTGTTCAGAGTGACCCCCACACTGTAAGTCAGGAATGGTTTTACTTTTCCGCGTAGGAGACCGTTTGGAGGGAGAGCTGTCTGGTCCACGGGGCACGTTTTTGGCCCGAAGGGTCTTATCTACACTGTGCTGAAGGGGAGCACGCGGGCCCCCTGCCCCCAGGGAGCTGGCGCCGAGTCGCAGCGAGCGAACCGCGCGAAACCCCCGAGGTTCTGGTCGCGGGGGACGTGTGGCCGCCCCGCCAGCTTGGTAACGCGTGTCCCCGGCGCAGGCGCTGCGGGAACTGGCCCTCAGCTACCGCGAGAGCATCGTGCACGTGCGCACCGCGGCGGAGCACACGGAGGAGAAGCTCAAGGCCGAGATCCTGTTCCTGAAGGAGCAGATTCAGGCGGAGCAGTGTCTGAAGGAGAATCTGGAAGAGACTCTGCAGCTGGAGATAGAAAACTGCAAGGAAGAGCTAGGTGAAGCCGGGCTGCGGCGTGGGGGCACGGGTCGCGGGGACGGGGACCACAGGAAACGCAGAGGGCAAGTGCAGGAAGGAGTGTAGGAAGGGTCTCACTTGTGACTCGTCCAGAGCGAATCCAGATTCAACTGGGCCTTAACGACAGAAGCCGCTCCCTCCCTCCAAGAGCTCCGTGTCAGGAGAGCCCCGCCGGGCCACCGCCCCCTCCTCCCGAGTTCGACGGGGACGTTTGGTGTCCACACGGTCCACGCCACACTGTGTCCGCGTGGCCTCTGCCTGCGCTTGGGCTTGAGGCCGCTGCCGGCTGGTGGGGTTGTTGAAGGGCGTCGGTTCCCCGGGATCAGGGTCTGACCCCTTTCAGTTTGAGCCGCAGGTGACGGGGGAAGGGGCGTAAGCGAAAACGTGAATGGGCAAAATAATCAGTGAGTGCCGGCGCTGCTCCCTTTCCCTTCCAGCCTCCGTTTCTAGCCTAAAAGCCGAACTAGAAAGAATAAGAGTGGAAAAAGGACAGGTGAGTGTCACGAATGTCACATTCACCCCATGGGCGGCCGGCGGGGGGTGGTGGCACCCCTGGCTGGACACAGGCGACAAACCAGAGTCGGGCCAGGTCCCGCTGCAAGGAGCGGCTGGGAGGCCCTCGGGGTGAGGGCCGCGGGGGGCCCCGGGCGGGTCCTCAGCTCCCGGGTCCGACTTTATGCCACAGCTGGAGTCGTCGCTGAGAGAGAAGTCTCGGCAGCTGGAGAGCGTGCAGGAGACGAAGAGCACGTTGGGAGAGCAGCTGAGGAAGGAGACGGCCGCGAAGGTGACACTGTCGTTGATCATTTAGTGACAGTCGTGCCAGGCACAGGGAGTCACATCCTGCCTGTTTGGGGAGGAGCGCCACAGCTCAGCATAGGGCCCCTGAGAGCCACCGAGGCTCCCCGCTTGCGGAAGGAGGACGAGATGCCCTTGCTGGAATCGGGTCACGCCTGCGTCCCGGGCCCAGCCCCCAGCCGGAGGCCCTCCCGTCACCGCGTCCTTTCGCGTGCCCGACCTCCCCAGTGTCTGCCGCCCAAGGGGAGTCCAGATACAACCCCAGTGCGTGGGCTTGACCGTGGGGCAGGATTCCTAGGAGGGTCCCCTGGAGCCGCGGGGTCACACCTCCGAGTGCACAGACTTCTGGGTGTGTGGATTGTCCTGGTTAATTCCGAAGTTTCTGTGCACGTTGCCGGGAAAGCTCCAGATCTTAGCAGCTGCTTTCCGCCTTTTGCTGATGAGTCGTGGTCCCCGGGCCACGGGGGGGGAGGGGGGCTTGGCTTTCACTTCCGGCCATCTTAGGGCGACCGAGAGCAAGCTCGTAGGCCGCCGGCGGCCGTGCCCGCGGAGGGAGCCTGATGGGCTGGGGGGGACCCCACCCCTCCCCCGGGTCCCTGGCTGTCCCGGAGGACTGGGACCTGCGGCTCCTTGGCATTAATTCTCAGGCAAAACTCCTATTTTGTAGGCGACTGTGGAACAGCTCCTGTTTGAGGAGAAGAACAAAGCTCAGAGGCTGCAGACGGAACTAGACGTCAGCGAGCAAGTACAGAGGGATTTTGTGAAGCTTTCTCAGACCCTGCAGGTGAGGCACGTGGGGACCCCCGGCAACCTGCCGGGCCCGGACTCGACGCTGCCAGTAGCTAGCGGGGTAGAGGCGTGAGCAGACGCACGACCCTGCGGGCCAGACGCCTGGGTGGCACTGGCCACGAGGCCCGTCTCCCGGCGAAGCGCCGCGTCTTCCACGTACCGCTGACACCCCTCCCGCCGGGCCCATCCCTACGCTTGGTTTCTCTGTCCGAGAGCCTTTTACATGTTGTGTCCTGAGGTCCGTGAAGGACCGTGCCCCCTTGTCCCCAGCACCGCGTGCCCCCTGGCGTGCACCCTGCGTTCCCTTCCCTAGGTCCCCCGACGGAAACCTACAGTGACAGTATATCGTTCCGGACCCTCGAAGCTGGGTTCTTGGGTTTTCTTGTGACTCAGCTGTACAGTGTTGGGGTTCAGGGGTCCAGCCTCCTCCCCCTTCCCGTGGTCCTAGCACCTCACGGGGTCTGCTGGACACAGCTTTGGGGGGTTAGCCTTTTTTTAAACTTATTTTGAGAGAGCATGAGCAGGGGAGGGGCAGGGAGAGGGAGAATCCCAACCTGGCTCCACACTGTCATCACAGAGCCCGATGTGGGGCTCGAATCAACAAAGCTGTGCTGTGAGATCGAGAGTCCGACACCTGACGGAGCCCCCGGGGTGCCCCAGAGGGGGTTGTCTTTGGCATGTGCTCGTTCTTGCGGTGACCAGTCTCGGTGAGCCAACGGGCCAGGCCCGGCAGGAGGCCACGCACTTGACTCACTGTCGCCCCCCAGGTGCAGCTGGAGCGAATCCGGCAAGCGGGCTCCCTGGAGAGGATCCGGGCGATTCTCAACGACACCAAGCTGACGGACATCAACCAGCTTCCGGAGACATGACACCCGCCGCAGGACGTGGCCCGCACCCCGGGCTTTTAACTCCTCTTTAGAGCAACATTAATTATTCTTTAACTCTTAACTGAAGAAGTCACAGAACAGGAGGACAGGAGCGAGGCTCACCCGTGGCGGGAGAAGGCCGTGGCGCGGGAGCCGCGAGCAGGACTTCCCAACGGGGACGCTGACGGACGGGAACGGGACTCGGGGGTGACAGAGGAAGTGCTGCTGTAAGATGTCCCTGCCTTTAAAGCAACAGCCCAGTCGCGTTTGGAATGACCTTTTCCGTTCCTCGATGCCGGAGAGAGCGCTTCCTTTTCCCGTCACCTGGCGCTCACCAGTAACAGCCCCCAGCTAGCACACAGACGTGTCGTTTGATGTATGAATATTTTATATTAAAATACGAAGGTTGAGAGCAGGCCGTTGGCTAGTGACCGAATTTCCGAGCTCCGTGTGTCTCTCTCCTGCCATCTTCTCTCGCGTCGGAGGCCGCAGATGCTACCGAGGCTTGCCGAGTGCGCCCGACGGCGGCAGACGAGACCAGTTCAGGGGCTGGATTAACCGCGAGGACTTGAAAGCGAGGCTGGGCGCTCTCTGTGTTGGAAGCTGAGGTTAAAGGAAAAGCACAAGAGACCGGAAGCACTTTCTCTGCCGCCCGGATGCGTCTCGTGGGCCCGCAGGTACCAGGGTTAAGCTGAACTGGCACGTCTACTCTCGAAAACTGTTTTAGTTTAGTTACTGGATCAGTGGAAAAATAATAATAATAAAGCAAGCTATGTCTGACATCTAGTATAAACTTACCAATCTGCTGCCTTCTTTTCAACTCCCATCGGCGGGCCGGGTAGTCTGAGGCATCCAGTACAGACACGTGACTGGGTTGACAAGGTACCTAGTTTCTGTTTCCCTCTCTCAGAGTAGGTCCCGTGTGTCCCTGGGGGACCAGTCAGTGCGGCCGTTGGTGCCTGTGTCAGGTTCGGTTCCTTCCCTTTGTGGGGAAGGTGTCCGCGAGCAGGTGGGCTCCACGTGGCCTCACGAGCGCTGCACCGAGTCCGCCGGCCCGGGCGCGGCGAGGCCAGTGGCTGGGGAGGTGTCCCGGGTCCGCCCGCAGACGGGAACCCGGCTCACGGGAGTGGGGTGGCGGGCTCTGGCTCACGGCCACCGTGGACTTTTCTAGTTTAGCGTGAACTGTCCTTGATTCACCAGCCCTAAGAGTCGGGAAGTCTGTCTTCCACAGGCCAAGACGAGGACTACACGTCTGATCCCTGGGTCACTGCTGTTCTTAACTGATAATTAGGAATTTTAATACTAATCATGGAAATAGTGCTATAGGCTTGCCATGCGTGAAACATTTTAATTGGTTTAAGATCCCTTCATACGAAGTGCTGTTTGAAGAACACCTATATCCTCCTTGAATTACACGGGGTTCTAGTTCCAAAATGCAATCGCTTTAAATTCTACATCAAGTGTTAAGAGCAGCCCCCAGCTAATTTCAAGGTATTAAAACTGGCACCAGTAACGAGGCGGGAAATTTGTAATCGCGAAGAAAAGCTGCCAGGGAACCGCGCCGCCGAGACCGGTGCTCTGCGGACCTTTCTCGCCGGAAGAGGCGCCGGCCGGGGACCCCGGATCAGGGACTCCCCGTGGTGTCTAGGGCCGCACAGGCAAACTGTTCAAAGTCCCTCGAGAAAAGCATCCCGTAAAACCCGAACTGAGAGTCTTTCTGGCATGAAACCGTGAGGCTACCCTTGCGGGATACCCTCTTTGGCCGGGTTTTGTGTTGTCCAGTGGGAAACTGAGGCGAAGGCGGGCACCAGCCGTGTGGACAGAGGGAGGGGAGCCGGGCCGCACGACCGTCCGTGCCCGCACGTTCACGCGCATCTCACCTGACCTGCCTCCTACCTGTGACCCACCTCACCGCGTGGCTTTCGGCCGGTGTCGCTCCGCCGTCCCCGGGCAGGTGCGGGGTCACCTTTCGGAGCTCCACGCGCCGGCGGGCGTGAAGGACCGCCGATCGGAACACGGACCCACGGTGACCGTGCTGGGACGGGGCGCGACCCAGCATGGCTCTGAAAGGTAATCCTGCCTGCGGAGGCGATGGGCCAGCGGCGGCCTCGGCACCGCGGCTCCGAGCCCACACACGTTGCACGGAGCCGTTTGTACTGAAGGCGCGTCTGGAAGAACGTGTTCAAATTAAAAAGCCGCCACCTCGCTCGCCGCGAGGTCCCCTCCTTTCGGCGCTCGGGGTCGGCGCCGCGGTCGCGTTCCCGGCGCCCCCACGTTCAAACGCGGCACTTGTTTTTGCTCAGGTTCGGAGACGACTCCGTGTGGCCCACGGCAGCTGGCAGGGCGCAGCTAAGGTCTCCAGAGAGTTTTAAAACATCCCGGGCCCTCGCTGAGTGCATATAAAGCACATTCCGGTTTTTAAATAAAAGCATTTATTCAGTAACTACAAAACAAGTATGAAAGATGTGAAATCACGCAGCCAAAGTTCATCTGAAAGGCCGCCTTACAAATTAGATGACGCTACCTGGCCGTTTCACAAACACGCCTGAGCCCCGACTCTGCGGCCTCCGTGTGAATCCGCGTGCGGCGGCTCAGAAGGTGACGTGGTGCCGGATGTCGTTGATCTGCTTCACCATCTCTCGGATGTGCTCGCCCCTGGAAGACCGGAGGCCGTTTACAGGGACTCGGCAGGATGCAAACGGGTCATGCGCACCGGAAACGCTCCGCCGCAATTCCCGGTGCGCGGCTTCCGACGGGAGCGCGCCCGCCACCGCCACGCAGTCCCGCTTCCGCCCCCCACCCGTCCCCCGCGCTCCAGTGCCCGTGTGACCCCGGCTCCCGGGCCGGTGAGCGCGGGACACGCCGGCGCCCGGCAGCCCCGCGTCAGGCGAACGCACTTACTCTTCCCGCAGGACGGACTGGATGCACCTGCGCTGGTGGGCGCTCAGGGCGATGGTGGGCTTTTGAGGGCTCGGCACCTTCTCCATCTTCCGCTGCTGGTAGTCCTTCTTCATGGTCACCTGGAGTACCCAAGAGAACGCGCGTCGGGCCACGGTCCGCGCGTGCTCGCTGGTCCCGGGGGTGGGGGTGGGGGGGGCACGCCGGCCGCGCGCGCCCTCGCCCACCTGTTTGATGGCGTTGCCCAGGTGGCGGAGCTGCTCGGGGATCAGCTGCAGCTCCTTCTTCATGTCCCGCTCGCTGTCGGACAGGACGGGGAGCTGGGCGCGGAAGCTGTGCAGGACCGTCTGCATCCTGGAGGAGGCGGCGGTGGGCAGCTGGGCCACAACGGGGCGCCCCAGGCCCCGCCCCCAGCCGGGTGGCCTCTGACGGGGGCCCCGCCGTCCCCGTCCCCGTCCCCCCCCCCCCCGCGGCCAGGCAGCAGCCGTCGCGGGCCGTCTTCCCGAACCCCGATCGGGCGCGCGCTTAGTCACCACAGGGGGGCCCGGACGGCGCCACCCGCCGACCTGTTCGTGAGATCCTCCTGTTTCTCCTTGGCCTCCTCGTACTTGTCGGCCAAGCGCTCCGCCATCTCCCGGAGGCTTTTCCTAAGGGCAGAAAACCAAGGGTTCTGGGGTCCACCCCGACGGGGAAGCCGGCGCGCGGTCGCGCGTGTCAGCCACGCTCCCGCGTCCCCCGCGGCGCTCACCTCTCCTCCCGGCAGTAACTCAGGTCTCCCAGCTGTTTCTTCTTCTGGTCACACAATAGCCTGACCCTTCGAGAACAAGAGAAGCGAGGTGCGGTCGGAGGCCAGGCCGAGGCCGCGACCCGCCAGGGGCCCTGCGCCGCCACCCTACCTGCGCTGGATCTCCTCCTTGGCCAGGTCCTGCTTGAGGACGTACTGCTCCCGGAACACCTGCGTGGCCCGGCTGAGGAGCTGCAGGCTGTCTCCCGGCGGAGGGGCCGCGTCTCTGTCACATGACCTGTCAGCGGGGGTTTCCGCGCAGGGCTCAGGCCAGGGCGGCGCCGTCCCTCCTTTCCGGCCTTCCCGGCCTTCCCTGGCCCCTCGCCCCTCCCCCACCCGCCCACGCCGAACGGCGCCGCACGAGACAGCGGACTGACTACGCGACACACGGCGAGTATGAAAACGGGCGGGACCCGTTCCCCAGACCCACACGCCCCAAATCCCGTACTTCAGAAACGCCGGATTCGCAACGCTGCGCTGCAAAATGCTTCTGATGTGCTTTTCAAAGGAATCCGGGGTTTCGGCCAGAATGCGGAGGGGAGACTCTTCCGCTGCCTTGTCTTCCTGGGTGCAGAGCAGGGGAGGGGACACCGGATGGACCGTGCTTCTGCAAAATACAGAAGCGCGTCAGACGCCATCTCCCGCGGTGTCCTCTACGGCGAGGACCCCAGGGAAGCACGAGCCACGGCTCCCTGAGCCGTGAGAACACGGGAGGCGAGGGAGTGTTACTTGTGTGACAGGACGACACCGCGTGCTTTCTGCCCTGAAGAGTCACCTGGGGAAAGCTGTCCCTGTTCTACCAGGACCGACCTCTGACAAAGCATTTCTGCACTCCATCTTTCCAAAAAATAGTTTGGATTGACAAAAGCAACACAAAAACATAAATTCATCGGGGACTCTTTCTGCAAAGGACCGGAGTCACAAACAAAAATAAACGACTCGTTTCCTAGGTGTCACTTCGGATTTGGCCAGAAAACCGCTGTACATACTGGATTTGCTCTGTTGAACTTCATCCTAAAAATGAGATTCACTCGAATATTATATTCACAGCGGCGGTGGCGGGAGAGCAGACGCACCCGCGGGCGCCCGATGAGCATCCTTATGTCTGTGGGACGGGAGCTACTGTAAGGACACCTGGGTCCCCGGGGAGCTGGCGCATGTGTGGTTTTTCCCTTCGGGCTTAATGGTTTCATCCGAAGGGAGCCGGTGTGACGGGGCGTCACCGTGTTAGCAAATGTGTCGAGGTAAGAGGCAAAAAGGTGATTTTTTTCCCACCTTAGTCTTGCTCGTTTTCAGTCTTAGTAGAAAAAACACAAAATGGATGGTGAATTGTTTATCTTCCTTTCCAAGTGGCATAACTGTCAACCTTCAGAGATTGTGGGGATTCCTCCAAGGACGTCAAGCGGGGCTGGTGTTCTCAACGAGGCCTGTGCGCAGAAGCCCGTGCTCTGCGGGAGGGGGTCGCGTGCCCGACACTCCGGTGGCTCCTCGGGACTCCTGCTCCTGCGCTTGTGACCCATGGGTGACCTTCAGGGCCGCCCAACAGTAAGTGGTGCTTGTAGGTTCACGGGAGCTCCTCAAAGGGAAGGATCAGGAGGCCACTTTCAACGCCCCCCCCCCCCGCTGTGGAGTTCACATCCCCTGGTGTCGCTCCGAGGCCGGTGGAGACGGGAAACTAGGGGGCCAGAAGGCTGCGGGTCTACAGCCCCAGCGGATGTGTTCCGGCAACCTAGGCACGGTGTCACCTCCCCGGATAGAAGGGACGGTGCCGTCCCTGCGGGGGGCTCGGGCTACCCTGGAGCCTGGCACAGGGACGGCGTGGATGCCATTTCCACTAAGTCACGTGAACAGCAGAGTTTGGTATTTTACCACTTTTCCACACTGGGAAGCAAAGTTCCCGACTCTCTGCCTAAAATAAGTCCTTTCAGGCGTGGCAGCGACAGCAGAAACCTCCACCCCTCTCGCCTGCAGAGCGTGAATCCCACGTCTCCAAGTGGGAATGACAGGCTCGCTCCCCGCGCGGGTTCTACAGAGCGAATGAGAGCCGCGTGGGCACGAGGACGGACTTACAACAAAGGCCTGATGAGGCACTCGTAGCTGCTGGTGACACAGATCATCGTGGGCCCCAGGATGTCTGGGACGATCCAGAACCCTCGAATCGGTGCCGGCTGCCTGGAACGACACAGCCACAGCTGACTTACAGGGACGCGGGGACCCGGAAACCGAGTTAACAGCCCAGGGGCCATCTGGCTCGCCCAAACCCGGCGGTTCCCGCCAACTGACATGCGGCTCCCTGCCCGCCACCCGGGCCCTGCCGTCTGCCCCGCCGGCATCCAACCCCGCCGACCGCCACCCGGGCCCCGCCGGCACCCAACCCTGACCGCATGCCCAGCACCCGGGTCACATCGCTTCGCCTACCCTCTCCATCCCCGTCCCCGCCCGGCGGAGGAGGGCCGACCTGGGGACTCGCAGGGACAGCGTCCCAGGCCCTCAGATCTCCCCACTCCCCTGCCCTCGGGCGGCAGTGCTAGCGCAGCACCCCGCCCTGCAGCTCCTTCCACGGTGCCCTTTCACCTTTCTGGGGAGGTGAGGTTGGGGGGGGGGGGAGGACGGGACTCCGGGAGTTAAAAGTCTTTCCGGCTTGAGATCTGCACACGCAGGAGTGCACGCGGCATCCTGTGACTGCGAGCCAGGCCACTGTGGGGACGACGGCCCCCGTGTGACCTCCCGGCTCACAAGGTCCCCTCCCCCCAGTGGAAGCCAAGGCCGTCCCAGCCCTGACGGCGCTCACGGATTTCCTGTCTAGGGACCCGCTCCCAAGCGGCCCTTCGCGTTTACCTGCCGGAGGAGCGGATGGGAGTCGTCACCCACTTCACCCGTTCGCCTTCTGTTGCCAAGGCCGCCCTCCCCGGCCCCAGGGGTGCCCTCGCCGCAGTCCTCCGGGAGCCCCCGTGCTGCCGGTCCAGGCTCTCCCTCCTGCCGGGTCAGCCCCCGCCCCCCCTCGGCCCCGCTCCTCCGGCTGCCTCACCGTTGCTGAGCAAGGCCGCTGCAGACCCTCAGCCCTGCTCTCCTCCCTCTGCGCCCTCCCCCGGCCCGGCTCTCTGGCCGCCCCGCAGGAGCGTCCCCCTCCACCGGGCCACCCTGCAGGAAGGGACCCCTCCGCATGCCCCCCTCCACACCTTCCCTCTTCCCAGGTCCACCCTCCTCCTGTGGCCCAAATGTCCAGAGGGCACCACGCGGAGGCAGGTACCCCTGTAGACCCACGGCAGTCACTCTAGGTTCTTCCCTTTCCTCTGGTCACTGAACGTTTACTGTCCGTCGGTCCATAGAAACGGTATCGCAGACACGAGGCCAACAGCGCACCGTGACGCACGCAGTCCCGGGCTCTGCCCTGACCGACCGCACGTTCTCCAAACACAAACGGCGACCTTAACACGCGCTGGGCAGAGAAGGCCCCTCTGAAGACCGGACGGGAAGTTGGGGTCGCCACGCCCTCCAGGCAGAGTCGGACCGGTGGGCGACGAGGGCGGGTCCTCACCTGCAGGGCAGCGGCTTCGTACACAGGATGTGCTCCACGAAGCACTTCTGTTCCGCAGCGAGCTCCTGGAGGCTGTCCTTGTCCTCCTCATCTGCAAAGGCGCAGACACACACAAGTGACTGACGCGCAGACACAGGTCTGCAAGTTAAATGCAGCGAAGGCTTCGTCCCGGACCCCGTCCCGGGCCGCTGCTCCCCAAGCACGACGCCTTCCCGCCGCAGACACCTGCTTCCCACGGCGGGGCTCGGCTTCAGCCCGAGGGGAGTGCGTTTTCCTCGGTCGGCCGTGTGCCCCGAGGGGACACTCCCACCCCGTCCCTTCCTCGCCCACACAGGGCGTCTCACAACAGCTGCTCGGATGCAGTTCACAATGCACACAACCCATCGTTTAAAGGGTGGAATTCCGTGGGAGTTTAGTGCGTTTTAAGAACTGTACAAGCGTCGCCACGGAAACTTCAGAACCCCTCACTACCCAGAAGGAACCCTTGGCTCTGCCGCTGGCCTGGCCCCAGGCGGCCACCACCAATCCGCTTTGTCCCTGCGGAGCTGCCCACCCTGCACACGTCACGTAAATCGCATCACACGTGTCCTTGTCTGGGCCTGGCTGCCTCCACTCACTCAGCACGTTTTCGGGCCCATCCGTGTTGCACGATATGCCGTCGGATAGATGGCTGTGTACTCGGGGTGATCGTCTGGCTCTGAGGAGTAATGCTGCTGTGAACATTCGTTTACAAGTGTTCGTGTGGACGTACGTGCCCACTTCTCGTGGGTGTGCGCTGGGCAGAGGTCACGCCGTAACTGGAGGTTTGATCACCCGAGGAACCGCCACACCGTTTGCCCAAAGGGCTGGGACTTCTTACGTTTCCATAAACACCGCACCGACAACACTGGTTACTGTCATCTTTGCTTTTAGCTGCTTTAATGGGCATAAAGTGGTTTTGTGGCATCTTGTTTCACGACCAATGATGCTGAACGTTTTCGTGGGCCTATTAACTCTCTGTACCTCATCAAAGGAACAATCTCTATTCAACTCCTTTGTCCGTTTTTCAAATTGGCTCTTTAACTGAGTTCTAAGAGTTCTTTCACGTTCTAGACTCAAGTCCGTGACCGGACACGATTTGCAAATATTCACTCCCATTCCGAGGACTACCTTTGCACTCTTGTAATCGTGTTTTCTTCTGAGAGTTCTACAGGGTTAGGTATTATTTTCAGGTCTTTGATCCCTTTTGAGTCATTTTTGTTATGGTGTGAGGCAGGGGTCCAATTTCATTCTCGTGTGTGTACACACACCCTGGTCCCAGCACCGCATCTTAAAAAGACTCTTCTTTCCACGCTGATGTGTCCTGGCACCCTCGTGGAAACCAACTGGACTCCCGGTCCCATGCCGTCAACCTACACGTGTATGCTTGTGTCAGCATCACACTGGATTGGCGTACCTTCTGTAAGGAGCCTTGAAATAGGGAAGTGTGGGTCCTGCAACTTTGTTCTTGTGTGTCAAGACTGTTTGCGCTATTCTAGGTCTGTAGAATCCCAAATGAATTTTAGGGTCAGCCCGTCCATTTGTGCAAAGCTAGCTAGAATTCTGACAGGCTGGCACCGGATCTGCACATCGATCTGGGGAAGACTGCCATTTAACGGTATTAACTTTTCTGATCCACGAACATGGGAGGTTTATATCTTTCAGTTACGTTTTACAGTCTAACAAGTGTATGTTTTATACTCTCGTTAAAGTTAAGTCTTATTTTGTGTGTTTTGATGCTATTGCAACGGGATCATTTCCTTAATTTCCTTTTGGGTTACTACTAGTGCGCAGAAACAGAACCGATACTTGTACACTGCTCCTGGGTTCTGCAACCACTCTGGACTCACTTATTGGTATAGATCCTTTTCCAACGGGTGTCCTATGACTCACTATGTAAAAGATCGTGTTTTTAGAGAAGAGCGTTTTCGTTCTTCCTTTCTAATCCTGATGCCTTTTATTTCACTTTCTTGGCTAATTTCCTTGCCTGGCACCTCCATTACGTTGAATGCAAGCAGCAGGAGCAGTGTCCTCTTGGATCTTGAGGGGAATGTGTGGGAGGCAGACGTGTAAACAATTCAACTGGACATTCAGCTGAGGTTTCCAAGCAAAACCCTGGCCACGTGTCCTGGTTTCATTGGGCCAATCGCAGTAAAATGTCAGAAAAAATACAACTGGGTTTTTACAAAAACCCCAAAGATTTGATGAGTTAGGAAATTGTCCACCTATCTGAACGGCAAAAGATACTAAAATTAAGAGATTCACTGTTAGGACATCATGCTTTAGAGGAAAAAGCCACTGATGTACTCATACCTCAAAAAGAGCAAAAGGTCTAAACGTCCAGTCACACAAGGGCTCTCCGAAGAGATTAGGAGCGTGACTGATCCTGTGGCCACATGAGGAGAACCCAAAATAGAGACAGGATCCCCCCGGAAAGGCCTGTGGGTGAATGGACTTCTTGCGATATACACAAGGGGACCCAAAAAGGTTCTTCAGAATTTGTAGCCACATAAACGCTGCTTGCCTCAGACTGAAAGGGTCACGGAGATGATGAGAAAAGGCTGTTCCACCCCCAAAATTCTGCAGGCAGAAAGCTGGGTAATAAACCACTCTACCATCGGTAAGTGCTACCTTTCTGGAAAAGATGAAGGTTTACTCAGAGGGCAACAGTGCCAGCCCGGAGGACTATCGCCAAGCCTTGAAACCTACTAGAATTTGAGTTCTGAAACCGCGTAGGACCCGTGGTTGAGGTTTCCTTTCCATTTTCTCCCCTTCTGACCTGAAATGTCTGGAAATGATACGTATGCCTGTCCCACCACTGTGGTCTGGGAACAGAGAACTTGTTTTCTAGTTTCAAGCTCCAGGGAGAGGAATTCTCCCCCAGGATAGAGTCTTTACATATCTGAGCTGGATGACGTAGAAGATTCAGGTAGGACTGGGGACCCGTGAGCTCACGAGATTCAGAGGAGCCTCTGATGTCCGCGTTGCTGTAACGACGCTACGGTCGGTGTATTTGGCACGTGGGTCAGGTGTGACTCTTTGGAGGCCACGGGTTGCAACAGACTAGACAGAACAACGGACTCCCCAATGGGGCCTGTACCCAAATCCCCCGAACCTGTGAATCGTCAGGCCACAGGCAAAGAGGAAGAGAGGCCGCGGATGGAATGAGCGCTGCTCGTCGAGGTCTCAAAGATAGATTATTCTGGATTATCCGGGTGGGCCCGATGCTATGACAAGCTTCCTTAAGAGGGAAAGAGGGAAGCAGAAAAGCAGAGAAGGACTCTACTCGCCCCCGCGCCCCCTGCTAACTTCGCAGCCGGAGGAAGGGGACTCTGGGCAAGGGAAGGCCGGGGAGACTGGACAAGGCTAGGGATGCGGTCTCTCCCAGAGTCTCCAGAAAGGGAGGCCCTCCCAGCACCCCTAACCTAGAGAGCTGTGAGGTAATAAATCCGCACTGTTGCGGCCCGCTGAGTTCGCGGTGACTTCTCACAGCAGCAAAAGACAGCTAAGGAAAACACTTGGGCCCTTGCCCATCAAACACGGGGCTGGCTGTGGGTCTTCCGTAGATGCCCGAGCAGCCTGAGGAACTTGTCATTACTCGTTTGCTGAGTGTTGGGACCAAGAAAGGCTGCCTCTCCTTAGACGCCTCTTCTGTCTGCTGAGACGATGATGCAGCTTATGTCCTCTACTCATGCGGCGTCCTACGCTGATGGATTTCTGGATGTGAATCCAACCTCGCGTTCCCGGGATAAATCCCACGGAGTCCTGGGCCGCCGTCCTTTTTGTCCGTCACTGGATTCGGTTTGCAAGCGTTCTGTTGAGGATTTTTTGCATCTGTATTCGTGAGGGGTGTGTGTCTGCGGTTTCCTGTCCTTGCACACCTGTCTCATGTTGGTGTCGGGGGAGCAGTGACCTCCACGAGCGAGGCGGGGGGGTGCTTCCTCTCCCTTCTGCTTTTGGAAGAGCCTGTCGAGAACTGGTTTCTTTAAATGCGGAACTTTTAGAGCTCACTGTCCTGAGCTTATCTCTTCGGGTAGTTGATTGTTGTTTTGATCTCTTCACTGGTTATAGGTCTGTGCTCACGTACTGGTTTTTGAGTCGGTGTCGGTAGTCTGTCTTCCTAGGGACAAGTCCATCTCGCCTTGGGGCCCTATGTGGCGCGGAGCTGTTCACGGTTCCCCGTCATAACCTTGCACACCGTCACCGTAAGGTCAGCGGTAGCGTCTCCTTGTGGGGTTGGTCTCGCCAAAGGTCTGTCCGTCTTGTTGACGTTTTCCAGTGATAGTCTTTGGTTTCACTGATTTTCTCTATTATTTTTCTACTGCAAACGACTTTTTGACAGAATCTGGGAAACATACCAAAAGGCTCAGGGGACTCACCTGACCCGAGAAATTTGTGAAGCTTATGAATCCAAGTCAGCCCGACACTGTGGACGCCGGCTTCGTGAGTGCAGTGGTACCTCGAGGGACACTTGGGATCTGCAAACGGAGTCGCGAACGGAGTACAGGCCGCGTTAGAAAATGGGTCTTAGGCACCTACCCCGGCAGCCCGCAAACGCACCGGTCCACGAAGTGACAGAAGGTGACGGGACCTGCACGCGATGCTACTACAGCAGGGATCTGACGTTTTAAAACTGGAATTCAACTTTCAAATGTATTTGAAGTATTTTTCAAAGTCATGAACACAACCCAAACGTCACTTCTAAACCTTCACAGGAGAGTTCAGCAAAACACCACCACCGGCTACCTGTCCGTCCCCCTCAGCACACGCATTTATAGCTCTCGTTCTCAGGACAACACGGTGCCTGAGAAAGTCACGGCTCCGGACAACACCTGTGCCGGCATCACCGACCCACGCGAACCTGTGCAAGCAAGCGCACGAGCGTGTCAGAGGCCCGGCCGCGGGGCGAACTGTCGTCACGGTGCGTCCAGGCAGCTGGGAAATGCCAAGTCTTACTTGTCTTGATAACGCGGACTTACAGTCTTTACGTTCAAGTTTGGATACGATTCTCTTTTTTTCCCCTTAAGTAACCTTTACTCCCAACGCGGGGCTCGAACTCACAACCCTGAACCAAAAGTCCCATGCTCTTCCCATCAAGCCAGCCAGGCACCCCAAGTAAATTTTTTTCCTTGCTATAATTCTGTTTGACATTCACTCATTCATTCTAGAGGCGGCGAGAGGGAGCGAGCGCACACGCGAGAGCACTGGCAAGGAGGGCGATGTGGGAGGAAAGGGAGGAGGAGAGTCCCAAGCAGTCTCCAAGTTCAGCACAGAGCCCAACAGGGGGCTCGATCCCACGACCCTGGGATCATGACCTCAACCAAAATCAAGAGTCAGACGCTTAACTGACCGACCCACTCGGGCGCCCCGACAGTCCTTTATATTTGTACCAAGAAATACGAGGAACCGTTATGGAATTTTAATGAAAACTTCTATACTTCTCTTGACCCCTAGTATTAGCGAGACTACATGAGACTAAAAGATGAGTTCTGGACACTTTCCTTCTGAATATTTATCTCTGTGACTCAGTACTTCTAAAACATAAAGCGACCAAAACAAGATACAGAAATAATTTACACGCGAAAGCTAATTTAAGATGCAACTGTCATCCATAAACCCCTAAATGAAACTCCCTTCCTTCTAAGAGCCTCACTTTAACTTTGTGGTTCATAAATATCGTAAAGCAAATACTAGTTTTTCTTTTCTATTTTACACATCGGGGTTCTGAAAACAGCATTGTGCCACGAAGAGTTTTAAAACTCCTGGTCTATGGCGATCCTCTCTCTGAACAATAAAATATTAAAAAGTTTCCTTTTTTCTGCCCACACTTGCTGCTCGTTCAGGTTCAAATCCTCTCATTAGGTCTACTACTGTTTCCAACGACTTTTCAAGATGTGCCTGTGGTGCTGACATTAATAGAAAAACCTCAATACTGGGAAATAAGAGAAATCTGTTACAGAAAAAGGCAACGTTAGTAACTGAAGTAGGAATTTGCCAGGCGTCCCTGTCACATGGTGGTCATCCACTCATGTCAATAAAAATCCGGGCATGTTTCAATGATTGGAAGGTGCCCTAAATAAAAACACGAACAGGTCGGCTTATTAGTTTCACAGATGTGAAAATAATTAACTCTCATTAGAAGATAAAAATGCCTATGTTTAAGATTTCCCAAAGAGGGGCGCCGGGGTGGGTCAGTGGGTTAAGTGTCGGACATCTGCTCAGGTCATGGTCTCCCAGTTGGTGAGCTTGAGCCCCGCGTCGGGCTCTGTGCTGACAGCTGGAGCCTGTCTGGGATTTTCTCTCTGCCCCTATCCCACTTGCGCACGTATGTGCTCGCTCTCTCTCAAAATAAAAAAAAAAAAAAGATTTCCCAAAGACATTATGTACCTTCATAAGGAAACCAGTGAATTTGTCGCCTATGTCACTGGGTCTCGGTCTCCTCAGCCCTAAAGCGAAGTTCAGAGACCACACAGACTACACCTCTGTGGATACGGCTCCGCGAGACACGCTCGGTGAGCTCCCTACGCCGGTCTGCTGCGCAGGAACTACGACTCCTGACTGTGCCGTACCAGGCGCACAGCTGGACCACCTCCAGGCAGAGGCGAGCCCCCCTCTCTCTGCACCGGGCCCAGGAAACCGACAGGAGGCTCCGAGGCGTGGTGGGAGGGCACAGGGTCACAGGGTCTCATGTCAGAGGAACCCCAGAGGTCATCGGATGTCACCCCTACCGCTTCCAGATGAGAAAACGGACAGCAGGGGGGCTGACCGAATGCCTGACGTCGTCACAACTATGAGCGAAGCCCAGCACGCGCCAGGCTCCTTCCACTCAGCCCCGCGGCGTCTCAACAACACGGGCTTCCGCCGACTCAGCATCTACTCAAAAGCTCCCCGGACGAACAGAGGTAAGTTGCCGGAAAGATACCAACCCAGGTAAGTTAAAATAAAATGAAAAGATAAAAAGGACAACATTCAAACTGGTTCTGGGGCTAACAAGACTCCGTAATGTGCTCTAAAGCGAAGAAAGAGGCTTTAGAGCGCCATCTTAATGTGAGCGTGTTATCGTTTGGTTTTTAAAGTTCGTTTTAAAGTTTATTTGCATACGTTTAAGTAGTTGAACCACGAAGCCAACTTTTGAGTGGACCGGGAAGAGTTCACTATTCTGACTCCAGGGGGATCCAGACCACAGACCACAGACCACGATCTTAAAATGTGGGAAGCACACCCAGCCTTTCCTGGACCCAAGTGCAGTGCGGTGACTGAAGCCACAGAACGCGGCTGGCTTTGCACAGCTGGGCCCCAAACCAAGGTGCCCGGGAATGGCCTGTGACCGTCTCCGTGGAAACAGGACGGGACAGGAGTAAACTCCACCAGTACATTACCTCTGTGAAGTCTGATGGGACAAGAGAAGTCAGAATCAAAGGGGTCATCCTCTCCGGACGCCAGCTTCAGGGCGAGCTCCAGCTCCACGCACTCGAACACGTACAGGGAGGGGACGAGGTCGGCCCTGGGGTCCCAGGACGTCTCCGACTGTAAGAGAACCGGCAGTTTCAGGCTTCACGCTCGTATGAAAATGCACACGGTTCGGAACAGAAGAAATTTCTCCTGAATTCCACCCCTTTCACCAGGGCCTTAATGTTCTCAAAAGAGGGAAAAAAGGCCTCCCTCCTTTTGGAAGGTCGTGAATTGAGTTGAGAAGAGCCAGTTTAGCGATTCGTGGGTTCTCTGTATCTGTCATTGAGGTCACTGAAGCCTGCCACTCCGAGCGTGGACAGAGCACGTGGGCGCCTTCTAACGTCTCGCCACGTGGACTTTTAGGTGGGCTTCACCTAACGCTAGGTGTCTGATTTCCAAACGACACAGAGGTGCCAGACGTAAAGGAAAATCCTAGCGTCCTGAGCGTTCTCGCCGGCCCGGGAACCACACGCGGCGCCGGAGACGCGAACGCAGACACGGGCCTGGCTCACCGTCTGCTCGTCTTCCTCCTCCCCTTCCAGCACGACGCAGTGGTACAGCATGCCCGACTCCGTGGCGATCACCAGGATGTTGGGGACGCAGGGTAAGCAGAGGATAGCACAGGCGTCATAGCCGTAGTTGTCCTCTGCCGCGGGGTGCATGGGCAGCGGGCCTAGCAGCTTCCCGACGGTCCCGGGGCTGAGGGAAGAGGGAAAACATACCCGGACAGGCTGACGGAAGACAACCACGCCGCCGCGACCCCTTTTCTGCAGCTGCCGGGCCCCAACTGAAAACACAGTGCCACGGGGGCACCTGGATGCCTCAGTCGGTTGGGTGTCTGACTCTTGATTTTGGCTCAGGTCGTGATCTTGAGGTTCGTAGGACTGAGCCCCACATCGGGCTCTAGGCTGACAGTGCAAAGCCTGCTTGGGATCCCCTCTCTCTCCCTCCCCCTCCTCCACTTTCTCAGAGGTAGACACAGAAAAAAGAGAGAGAAAGAGAGAGAGAGAGAGAAAAGAAAGAGAAAAGAAAAGAAAGGAAAAGAGAAAAGAAAAGAAAAGAAAAGAAAAGAAACGAAACGAAACGAAACGAAACGAAACCAGAAGCTTTAAGAAAAAACAGAAACAGAAAATTCCATGGCACCGGTACTCCTGATGTCTCCACGTCTCACTCTCCCCTGGACTTCTGTCTCCCTGGTGCCTCTCAACTGGAGGTAACTTTGTGCGCAAGGGGACGCTGACAACGTCTGAAGACATTTCTGGTTGTCACGACCAGGGAGGCGGGGGCGGGAGGGTGCTTACTGGTGTCCAGAGCAGAGATGCGGCTCAACACTGCCCCGCCCCCCAGGATGCCTCCGCAGCAGTCGCTCAGCGCAGAGTCCCCGGGGCAGGGGCCCAGAGGCCGTGCCCCCTGCTCACTCTAGCTCCAGCCTCCCTCACCCCAGCGAGGCCGCGCTCCTGCAAGGGCCAGAGGAGAGCTCCCAGCTGCTAAGTCCACGGGCCACCAACCCGACGTGCTGCTGCATTTACTGTGGGCTCCCAGCTGCCTCCCGCATCCTTCACGCGTGCACTCCGGTCTCCTGGCTCTCCTCGGGCCCCTCCGGACACCCCTCTCTCACTTCTGGCTCGAAAATACTGGCGCTCCCCAGCATCTTGTTACAAGCCCTCTTGGCTTCACAGCACACACTCACGCGAGGGCACACCGAGCCACGCCTGGCCGGAACTACTACGGACAGCCTGTACTTTCTCCCAAAACGGAACTGCTCTTCGGGGCCTCGGACCCAGTATTTAACTGGATTAGAGCTACAGTGACTGGGTGCTGGGTGACACCCCCAGGAACCGGTGATGTCGGTCAAACTCACGTTTGTCCAGAATTACAAGACCACGTGCTAAGTTCGACAATGCGAGAACGAACCAGGTATAGAGAGAGTGAGGTAAGAAAGGCGTCAAACACAAGTAAGCCCGGGGGCGTGGAGAAGGTTGAACATGTGACTCTGGATTTTGGCTCAGGTCACAATCCCAAGGTTCGTCAGGCTCTGTGCTGACAGTGTGGACCCTGCTGGGGATTCTCCCTCTCTCCCTCCCTCTCTGCCCCTCGTCTGCTTGCTCTCTCTCAAAATAAACGAATAAACATTAAAAAAAAAAAAAAAGATCAATGGGAAAGTATATTCTGGGAAGGGGTGGTGAACCTTCCAAGCTAAGGAGCAGCTCTGGAAAGTTCTGGAAGCATGAACGACAAGGACCGGCAGGAAGGAGACTTGGCTTTCTAAGACAACAGAAGACAAGTCAGCAGGCCACATCAAGGCCCTCAGAGCCTCCCTGCCGGGCGACAGCGTCAGCAGAGGTTCATGTGAAGAGGGACAGAGCTTCACTTTCCTAAGATCAGTCTGACAGTAGTGAGGGGGTGACACTGAGGGAACTGAGATGGGGTTCAGGGCAGCGACCGAAGGGGACGAGGGTCTGGGCAGGAGATGAGGGTCCGAGGCAAGGACAGCAGGACGGAGAAGGGGGTTGGCGCTCAGGGAGTTTTCGTGGTTAAGGGCAACAGAATGTGGGGCTGGGCTGGACCCGAGAGGCTGCGGAAGGCGACCAGGTGATGAGATTTGGATAGGTGGGTGCCGGTCGCGGGCGGAGGGAGGCGACAGCGTTACCACGACGGCCAACTCCGAGCAGGGGATGTTCAGGTGGAGGCGGATGCGGCTGAGAGGGAGTCCCCGCCCGCGGCAACCGCGGAGGTCCCCGGTCTCCCCTTTGTGATTCTGCTCCCGCAGGGACCCAGCGGATCCCTCGGCCTGAGCTCGGATGCCAGGGGCCACCCTCCTCCCCCCAGCTCACCCCTCCCTCTTGCAGCGCCTGAGGCCTAGGACTCACACCTGCCGCTGGGGGGGGGGGGGGCCTGACTTCATAGGGGGCCAGACGACTCATAAATGAATCAAGTCCGTTATCCTCTGGCCTCACGCCTTTCGGGTTACAAATGGGCCCAGGATCCTCACCCTCTCCTGCCTGCGACTGTCACCCGGACTGGTGATCCTCTCTGTCTGGTCCCCTAGTTCCAAATGTCCACGGACCGTTTCCACTTTATGAGCCCACTACCCTGTCCAACTGACCACCTGTAATAACAACCCCACTAGCCGCCCCTCCTGACCCCAGTTTTGTCTTCACGGCTCACCCCCTAACCCGACCGGGAATGGAGTCTTACGGACCCTTCCTCCGTAGGAAGCGTGTCCGCTTCTGCCCCTGCTTCGGAACGGCCCCCGTTCCGATCCCGTAGACGGTCACCTAACGTCTGCAGCAGCGTCTCTAAATGTCTCTCTGCCCCAGAGAGGGTCTCTCTGTCCCTAACCGTCTGCTTTGTCCTTCTGTTTAGAAACCATCACTGGCTTCCCACCACCCTATTCCTACAGAAAAGACCCCACGTTCCCCAATTTCCCCCCGGGCAGATACTTCCGGCTTTACCACGTAACGCTCCGCAGCCGAAACCACGGCTCCAGCCACGAGAGCCTGACCACTGAGCCGCGAGAGACACACGCCCTGGGGACTAAAGCAGTCATGCCCTTCCCTGACCTTCGGTTAATCCTCATTAGAGGTCAGTCCCTGTCCACGAAAACCTCCCCGACTTCTTCAGTCGCGGCACGCTCTCCTTCCTCTGGGTCCTCCCGCCTGTGCACCGTGCGTGGTCTGGGGACTCACAACCAGGGCGCAGGTCCCCACCACTAGCTGCCCTCTCAGTGCCTGGCTCACACGAGATGCAGGACACTTTTGTGCTTTAGACTTCGTGAAAACAAATCCAGTCTTCGGTGATTATCTAAGAACGTTACAGAACCGACCCAAATAATACGAGGCAACCAAAGGTTACACGGTCTGTACGCATCTTTCCCCAAGATATGCAAAGCAAGCATCAAGAGGCTGCCACACGTCGAGAGACGGGACACCCACCCACGGACCCCAGTCTGGCCGGGCCGGTCCACGAGGGGCATCCGTGGATGGCACCCCCCCACTCACCTGTGAACCAGACTGACGTACGTGAGGAAGGTCTCTCCGTTCTCGTACAAGATGTACAGCGGGTACCCCACTATGTCACCTTTGCCTTTCTGTCCAAACATGGTCTTCGGGACCGCTGACAATGGCCCGAAGTCAAACGCCACCGCTGTCTCGCCCAGAGACGCAGTGTATGCCCTTCTGAAAAGACATTTAAAAACCGATGGGTCAAAAACAAGAATGAAAACGAAACGTCTGCTAACAGGAGATGGGGATGGGGTTTGCACTCGACGGAGGACACAAAATAGAGCACAATTAAACGACAGAAACACGAAATTATACCCCGTTTCCTCTTAGTTTAAGCATATAGACACGCAGACAGGACAGATACACGCACACACAGAGAGACAGGAAGCAAACGCTGAGCAGAGGGACACGTTCACTCCACAAGTATCTCCTTCGCATCGGCCCCACGCCCCGGGCCCCACGCTGTTACGGGGTGCTGGGGACCCACCAGTGACTTCAACCAAGGCCCCGCCCTCCAGGGACACACGCAGGGCACACGCAGAAAGGAACACGCAGCACAAAGCCAGAAAATGACATTGTCAAGAAAAATGAAGTTGGGGAGGGGGGCTGCCTCGGGCTGGGCTGCCTGGGAAGGACCCTGACGCGGTGATGTCTGAGCACGGATTCAAAGGAAGGAGGGGAGGCGTCAGCGGCCACATGGGCAGGGGGTGCATGTTGTCTGAGGAATGAACAGCGAGGAGGCCGAGCTCAGAACCGGGACACAGAGGGAGAAAGAAACTGGAGGGGACATCCTGTGGGTTGCGGTCAAGAATAAAGCAGAATGAAGGGCGCCTGGGGGGCTCAGTCGGTTCAGCGTCCGACTTCGGCTCAGGTCGTGATCTCACAGTTCGTGAATTCAAGCCCCACTTAGGGCTCTGTGCTGACAGCTCAGGGCCTGGAGCCCGCTTCAGATTCTGTGTCTCCGTCTCTCTCTGTCCCTCCTCTACTTGTGCTCTTTCTCTCCCTCAAAAATAAGTAAACGTTGAAAAAAAAAAAAAAGAATAGGATGGAATGACCTGCTTTATACCCAAAGTGTCACTCTGGCTGCCACGTCAAGGAGAAACTATAGGAGATGACAAAGATTTCTTTTCCTTAATATTTTTCTGTAGGTTTCCCCAATTTTCTACAATAAACACATGTTATCTTTATCATCAAGAAAAACAAATGACGAAACACGCGACTTCGTATTTTAAAGTTCGGTATGACGGGTTATCCGAGGAGACTCCAGTTCAATACAGGGTTACTAAGTGCGGGTAGAACGAACTTATATGGTTGGAGGAGCAATGTCACTTTGTTGTGCTGCAACCACCACGCGTGAGTTTACCGCGTGGAAAGGTATATGGTGTCAGGAGGCAGGGAAAAAAAATGAGGAAGCCCCAAATCAGAACAAAAGAACAGCCTGCGTTCAACTAATGACCAGGACAACGAAGGGACAACAGACATGGAAGTCAGAGAGACTTCAAGTGACCCCTGGCCGTCAAAAGTTACCAGGAGCTTAATAAATGCAGGCGTGTTCCCCATGATGACAGCAGGTGTTGATGAGTGAGTGCCAACCCCGTGCCAGGACCCAGGCTACGCACTTTTATGCATCACCTCGTCCATCCCGTACGGCGATCCTAGTAGAAAGTGCCGTGATTCTACTTTATATTCACGGAACACGGTCATGGACACGAGGCTTGGGGCCGCTGAACGGCCGGCGTGCGCCACAGTGAACACACGGCAGGGCGGAGATCAGAACCCGGGGCCTGGAGCTCGGAACAAGTGCGCGGGCAGGGAAGGTGCCCGACCCCAGGGGTGGGGGGGACCTGCCGAGTCCCGGAGGCCGGTACCTGCCACGCGGGGGTGGAAACTTTAATTTAAGAAGCGACTGCCCGACACTGACATCACTGAGCTGAAACGCTCACCCTGAGACTCTCCCGGAGAGTGAAATCGGCCCCAGGTCAGCAGCACCCTGGGACTGGGCGCCAGCGCGGGCTCTCCACGTTCCCAAACGTTAAGATCCAATAAACGTAAGTTCACAGCCCGAGATCAGCAATCACGGGGCGAGGCGGGGACTGTGGGTCAGGGGCAAGGGCAGTACAGATCTAGACCCCCGCTGCCCCCGCCCCACCGCGCTGTTCACACACCAAAGAGCTACGTGGGAAGCAGTCAGAGGACGAAGAGTTGGGAAAACAGGAATAAACACGACTACTAGAGACGACCGCCACGGAGACGTGGAAAGAACCAAATGGAACTTCTAAAAATACAGCTACTGGGGCGCCTGGGTGGCGCAGTCGGTTGGGCGTCCGACTTCAGCCAGGTCACAATCTCGCGGTCCGTGAGTTCGAGTCCCGCATCAGGCTCTGGGCTGATGGCTCGGAACCTGGAGCCTGTTTCCGATTCTGTGTCTCCCTCTCTCTCTGCCCCTCCCCTGTTCATGCTCTGTCTCTGTCTGTCCCATAAATAAATAAAAACGTTGAAAAAAAAATTAAAAAAAAAAAAAAATACAGCTACTAAAAGCGTCACTCTACGTGCACAGGCTGTGGGCGGTCCTGTGTGGTCATCACCAGAAAGACTGGTCAGGAGGCCAGAGGGACGGGGTTTGTGAGTTCCAAGGGTGACCGCTGGTGGTCGGGGAGCCTGGAGCGTGCCCCTGTGGGGGGTGAGGGGGGCGGTCGCCGGAGTCAGAAGGGCTCCCTCTTCCTCTCCAGGTTCTGGGTGTACATGGTCTGGGAGGCGGGCTGCCCGACACTCTGACCTTGAACCTCTGCCATGGCATAACTTATCGCCTCTGTCAGGACACAGGAGGGAGCCCGTGCCAGGCAGTCATTCTAGAACCTTCTCAAGAAGGGAGCAGCTGGCAGCGATAGTGACCCTCAGCCACTCTGTCCTGCCACCCACTTCTGCTCACTCCTCAGGTCCCCGGCAGTGTGGTCACCACTGGAAAACCTTATAATCTCTGTTAAAACTGCACTTACGAGCCCAATAAACGAACTATTTTGTGACACAAATAAACTCACCCTTTATTGAGTATCAGGCTCTCCTCTTCCGCTTCTGAAAGCACAATGACCTTGATGGGTGTCTGAGGCTCACGGAGAGAGTAGATCCTGGTGAACAGAAGAGCACACAGCCCGCACTTAAAATTCTTTTTTTTTTTTTTTAACAACGTTCAAAGTTTTGAGAGAGAGACGGAGTGCGCATGCAGAGTGGGGGAGGGGCCGAGAGAGACAAAATCCCAAGCAGGTTCCCCATCCTCCCAGAGCCGGACTCGGGGCTCGGTCCCAACTGAGCCCCCGGGTGCCCCAAAACTCTTTCATCTCAAAAGCGCCCTTCTCCTCCATCTGATCGCTGCCGGAGAATCTTCCTACCGGTTTTTACAACCATTTCTCTGCCAAAGGGCGTGCTCGCACTGACAAAGCAGCCCGCTTCGCCTGTGTCCGTGGGCCCTGCACAAACACCCTCTCTCGCCCCCGAAGCCCTATGAGCCCGCCGCACCCCGTCACGGGTCTGGATCTACCCCCGAGTCCGCAGGCACACTCACCTCGTCCCGGCGTCCCCCCAACCGCCCCAAGTGCACCAGCACCCCCGCGCGTGCACCCCGACTCTGCAGCCACATCCCGCCGCCCCCTGTACGCCCACCGGGCGCAGAGGGAGGGACGCCCGGCCCCCAACTACCCGCGTTGCTGGACGAGACGCAGCACCACGTCGTCCCTACTTTCTCAAGCAGAGCATAAAACCGGAAATGCTTTCTGTAAATTTTTTTTGCCAAGATCATTTTAACCTAAAATAACAAAGTCAACGACACACGTGGCTACGGTTAAAAGGAGAATTTTCAAAAGGCCAATAACATCGTTATCAGAAATCTAACACCCCTTATAAAGCCCGTGTGGAGTCAATCACTTACCTCGTCCGTCCACCCTCAGAAGTTTTAAACTCCGTTTGCTCCGTTACCAGCGAAATACCATTTAATAGACGTTTTCAACAAAAACCTGATGCAACCGACCACGCACGCACGGTGGTCTTCCTGGCTGCCCGCGCGCACTCCTGACCTCAAGGCGCTAATACCCGATGGGACGCGTGAGAAGGGAAGGCAGCGGAAGGGAGCGTCGAGGGGCGTCGTGTTGCCCCGAAGCCGTCCACAGGCTCCAGAGGTCAACAGGGGGAGGGAAGTGACCGGTGCCCCGTACTTATTTATTTTTTACAAGTTCGTTTATTGTGAGGGAGAGTGCGTTCACGCACGAGCAGGGGAGAGGCGGAGAGGCAGAGAGAGAGAGAGAGAGCGAGCGAGCAAGCCAAGCGGACTCCACACTCAGTGCAGAGCCCGACGTGGGGCTCAAAGTCACGAACCATGAGGTCACGACCTGAGCCAGACACTTGACAGACTAAGACGCCCGGGCTCCCCCAACACCCCGTATTTTAAAAAGAACCTCAACAGTTGGGACCAGACACCTCCTTCCGGGCGTCACACGAGAAAGGCCTCGGCCACACCCCGGCCCCCAGCCGGTTTCCCAGCCCACGTGACAGGAAGACCAGGAGCCCGTCGGTGTTCAGGACGAGCTCTGTGAAGGGAGGGCGGCCCCTCCTGCTTTCCAAGGCAGACGGGTGGGCAGGGCGACACTCAGCCAGACTTAGAGGTGCCTGTACGTAGCAACGGGAGACTCGTGTCTCCCGTTTTGGCTGAATGCCAGACGTGCTGCGGGAGCCACAGGCCACCAGGTCGGGGAATTCCCGGCTGAAGCTGACACCTCACATCCCAGGGCTGGTGGCACGGGAGTACTATACGGTATCTACTTCCTACAAGGAAATTTCTAGGGCCGGGCCGGAACAGCGTCAGGACTATGGTGCAGGTGCTCAGTTCCCTGTGGCCCTTGGGGGGCAGAGGAAAGGACCCTGGCAGGTCCCATGACTCCACAGGAAAGAGCACAATGGTTACGCTGAGGGTGCAGGAGACAGCACGTGTGTGTACGCCCCACCGTGAGAGCGAGCCCAGGGCACTCCCGCTCCCAGAGCGCCTCCGTCACCAGTGGCCCGAGGCTAAGTGCCGCCCGGGCCAGGCGGGGGCGGGAGTGGGGGGGGGGTGCACACACCTGCACGGAGCCTACCACGTCAGCGGAGGTCACTGGTGGCAGACAGGACCAAACGGGGACCGGGGTCAGGCCCACCCCCTTTACAGACAGCTGTCTCCCTCAGCTGTCCCATTCTCCCTACCCCCACTACCGAGGAGCTGGACCCAGAGGAAGCAGGAGGCAGCCCCTCCTCACACATCGCCCCCACCTCAGGGTGCGGGCACAGAAACAAGAGCCAGAGCAGACAAGGCCCTCCCCACCCAGTCTGGGCCACGACACGCTGCTGATGTGGACCGAACATCAGAGTTTTAAACTGGACAGACCAAGTTTTGCTAACTACAAGTGACCGGAAAGCTCTGAGGTCTAAGAGGCCAGAAAGGGATCAACCATTCAGCAGGGAAGGAAAGGCTGATGAGGCACAGCTGAAAACGGTGATTAGGAAAAATGAAGCCGGAGGGACCCATCAGCTGGGTCTCCCCAGTAAATGTTTCACATGAGGCAGATCCAGAAAGTTAACTGGGAACGTTATAGAAATCTCTGGAAGCCTGGGGCATGTGATCGTAGAGTTCAAACCCCGGAGGGGCGTTTAGAAGCTGTCAGATCGAACCTGCTCGTTTTACAAGATTGGAAACTGAGGCTCCCCTAAAAAGAATTTCGGATCTCGAAGACGGAGGCGGTGTTGGGACAAGAATTCAGATCTCTCAACTCCCACTTGTATTCTTTTCCCGATGGTACACGACCTCCAAGATGACACGTTGAGAGGGGACGTACCAGCAGACCGGTAAAGGAGACGGACGGGACGAGCCAAGACAGAGCGGCAGTGGCTCCAGCACGCAGGGGAGGGCGTTCAGACGACCTGCCTGCACACTGGTCACAAGGGCCACGAGGCAGAGCCGTCAGCCGTCCCGGGACCCGTTCAGCGGAGCCCCAGCTGTCAGCCAACGAGCGGAAAGAGAATCTCCCCTCGCAAAGCTCCGAGAGAGAAACAGGGCGTACCTGATCACGTTGTCCGAGGTCAGCAGCACGACGTGGGGGTCCAGCAGCTCACTCGGGTACCAGGCGGCGTGCTTCAGAGTCAGGGAGGCCGAGCTGGTGAAGAACCTCTCGGCGACAGGCGTGGTGCTAAAGCGAGGACAACAGCTCCCTAAAACGTTCTGCAGCACGTGAATGGAAACCTACAGGGAAATCTATCTTACTACCGCTTGGTCCTTTCTGTCAAATTTCTCTCAACTCTTGCTGAGAGCAAAGCATCTATTCAGTCAATATCAGTAAGACCCGAAATAAAAAGATTTTCTAAAGTACAGAGTGTTTTCTAAAAATGACCTTATCCGTGATCTTAGGTGTCACGTCTTACTTGACCCCTGCAGGAGCCCTGTGAGAAACTGCTCGGGAACTACCATCACTGTTGCGGAAGTGAGGAAATGGATTTAGAAAGCGGACGTTTTACAGGGACCGGGTCTCTGCGCCGTGGAGCTAAAGGGGGGTTTCTAGCTTGCATTCTTTTCTACAAATCTGAGTCAGACTCTCGCTTGTCTGGATTTGTTGAAAAACACAAGACACCAAAACTAAACTCAGTCAAACTACCAGCAAACGGTCTGACTCCCAGACACTAGCTGCTTTCGACACGTCATGCTGCTTCTACCTACTTGAAAACGGAACCCCGATTAGACAGCGCTTTGACAGTTCGGGCAGAAGAAACGTGACCTTACATATAGCACAGACGCGACGGCAGGCAGCCAAGGCGCAGACCAGCTGGAACACCGCGATGTTCGATCCGTGGCACAGAAAATGCACCTTAACCACCACGGGGCTCGAACAACTGTCCGCGCGTACGACAGAAGACACAGACAAACGTTCCGTGGACGTAGGACTTACCTACAATTCACTGTTAGTTTTCCGCCTTCGAATTCAGAATTCTTCCCCCATCTTTTGGGCAGCTCTAACACCGTAAGTCCTTTCATTCCTATGAGTGCCACATGCTGCTGCGTGGGACTTAACAGGACTTGATAGATTTCAAACAGGGGCGGATTTATGCAAAGCAACCTCTGGAAATTAAAAGCAAACTGGTCAAAATAGCTCGTGTCCAGGTAAACACACGTGGCAGGTGCTTGGGAGCACAACAGTTACCCTATACTACACTACAGCTGTGCACCACAACTAATGCAGGACTTGCCGTAGGACAATGAAGCAGCCTGGATAACGGCTAACACTTGGGCCGTTAACTGATGGAAGATTTTTTATTTTTTTTTCTTCAACGTTTTTATTTATTTTTGGGACAGAGAGAGACAGAGCATGAACGGGGGAGGGGCAGAGAGAGAGGGAGACACAGCATCGGAAACAGGCTCCAGGCTCCGAGCCATCAGCCCAGAGCCGGACGCGGGGCTCGAACTCACGGACCGCGAGATCGTGACCTGGCTGAAGTCGGACGCTTAACCGACTGCGCCACCCAGGCGCCCCATGATGGAAGATTTTTAACCACTGAGACTGGAATGTTACAAGGAACGCACCACATTTCCCTACCCTGCGAAATAAATACTCTGCATAATTTCCCTTTTCTTAAAAAAAATTTTTTTTAATGTTCATTTTTGAGAGAGAGAGGGAGGGAGGGAGGCGGAGGAGGGGCAGAGACACAGAATCCGAAGCAGAGTCCAGGCTC